GCTGCACAACGAGAAGAGGTGACCGGACCCTGAGGAGGATTGTGGAGAAGGGCCGATTCCAGACCTTGGGGGACCTGCGGAAGCAGTGGACTGAGTCTGGAGTAGAAACATCCAGAGCCACCGTGCACAGGCGTGTGCAGGAAATGGGCTACAGGTGCCGCATTCCCCAGGTCAAGCCGCTCTTGAACAAGAGACTGCGTCAGAAGCATCTCGCCTGGGACTGCTGCTGAGTGGTCCAAAGTTATGTTCTCTGATTACAGTAAATTTTGCATTTCCTTTGGAAATCAAGGTCCCAGAGTCTGGAGGAAGAGAGGAGACACAGAATTCACATTGCTTGAAGTCCAGAATTCACATTGCTTGAGGTCCAGAATTCACATTGCTTGAGGTCCAGTGTCAAGTTTCCACAGTCACTGGGGTGTCATGTCAGCTGCTGGTGTTGGTCCACTGTGTTTTATCAAGGGCAGGGTCAATGCAGCTAGCTATCAGGAGATTTTGGAGCACTTCATGCTTCCATCTGCTGAAAAGCTTTATGGAGATGAAGATTTCATTTTTCAGCACGACCTGGCACCTGCTCCCAGTGCCAAAACCACTGGTAAATGGTTTACTGACCATGGTATTACTGTGCTCAATTGGTTCGACTATCCGACAGACCCTCCTCTCCAGAACCCCTGAATAGACCTTACCAGAGGCTTAAGAGCGTGATCCCCCTGTAGTTGAAACACACTCTACGGTCCCCCTTTTTGAATAGGGGGACCACCACCCCGGTCTGCCAATCCAGGGGAACTTCCCCTGATGTCCACGCAATATTGCAGAGTCACTTAAGCCAATACAACCCTACAACATCCAGAGCCTAAAGGAACTCAGGGCAAATATCATCCACCTCCGGGGCCCTGCCACCGAGGAGCTTTTTAACCACCTCAGTGACCTTAGCACCAGAGATTGGAGTGCCAGACCCAGAGTCCCCAGGCTCTGCTTCCTCAGTGGAAGATGTGCCAGTGGGATTGAGGAGGTCTTCAAAGTATTCTGCCCACTGACCCACGACATCCCGAGTTGAGGTCAGCAGCACACCACCCCTACTATAAACAGTGTTGGTGGTGTACCGCTTTCCCCCCTGAGACGCCGGATGGTGGACCAGAATCGCCTCGAAGCCGTGCGGAAGTCATTCTCCATGGCCTCTCCGAACTCCTCCCATGCCCGAGTTGTTGCCTCAGCGACCACCCGAGCCACGTCGCTTGGACTGCCAGTACCCATCAGCTGCTTCCAGGGTCTCACAGGCCAAAAAGGCCCAATAGGACTCCTTCTTCAGCCTGACAACATCCCTCACCGCCGGTGTCCACCACCGGATTTGAGGTTTGCAGCCACGACAGGCACTGACAACCTTGCGGCCGCAGCTCTGGGAAGCCGCCTCGACAATAGAGGCACAGAACATGGCCCACTCAGACTCAATGTTCCCCACCTCCCCTGGAACATGTTTGA